CGGCAGCAAGTCTCGGCGAAGCATCCGTGTCATTTGTAATGTCAGCCAACAAAATGTAATCAAACATTCCAGCGGTTTAATCACAGAGGGCTGCTCAAGAGATGATTGTAGTGTCAATATAATGCTATTTCATTATCTGTTTGTATTTTATATTGACAGTGTCAGATAAACAGTGTGGAAAATTAAGATTAAAAATATGGTAATTTCATTTCAATCACCCCGGCTACAGTTGCTGGCCCATTATGCGATTGATTACTTCTGAATTAAATTTGGGGCTGAATGTAAAGTTTAATCTTCTTTCTTCTCTGCAATTCAGCTCCCCAAAGGCCTCTTAGTAAGTAAGTACCCATTTCATTTGATCTTTAATGAAAAGTAATGGCCCAAATGAATTGTATAAATCAGCTGTCGCGTGTACCTAGTTGACGTTCCATTTCTTTTTCCTTTCATTTTTAATTCCCCTCTTTCAGCGTCATGACCCAAACTTAAGGCCGTAGTCCTTAAAAAGAAAAAAAGAAAAAAAGAAAAAAGAACTACAGTGCCGTGACAAAGTGATTTCTTTTGTGTTTGCTTTTTGCCACATTTAAAAGCAAAGAGATTTTAATGTCAGACAAAATATACACCGTGTAAATAGAAAATATAGTTTTCAAATGAAAATTTAATTTATAAGAGGTAATAGCTGTCCAAACTGATTTGTTTTAGTGTGGAAAAATTTTTTTTCTCTAAACTGAAAATAATAAAATAATTCTTTTTGCAGTGATTTAGTCAGTGATTTCTTAATGGAATCAAGAAATCACTTGAATAGAACCTATTTGACAACATGAAGTAGGCCAAAGGATCAGAAAAAGCCACACATTATGCCGCATTCTACAAAAATTCAGGAACAGATTAGAAACCAAATTGTTACCTTTTATATACAAATATCAATCTGGAATGGGTTGAAAAGCAATTTCAAAGGCTGTGGGACTCAAGTGCAGCATACACTGAAAAAAGAAAATGACCTTCCAAATTAGTAGATACAGTATTAATTTGTCACATGGATTCAAATGAAGTTATTTATGTTTGTCTAACATGACAAACTTAATACATTTATTTGGAGGAACTTAATCTGATTTCTTGTGACCCATTACCATAATATATTTAAGTTAGAACACCTGTTTTCTTTTTTCAGTGTAGAGAGAGAGCTGTGACACAAAAATGAAAATAAATAAATAAATAAATAAAGACATAGAACAGCTCTGCTGTTTTGCAGGAGGGCCCTGCCAACCAAAACTACTCCATAAGCTCATTGATGACTCATCCAGGAGGTCTAGTTCAGACTGCAGAACGTAATCTAAAGCACTGCAAACCTCACTTGCCTCAGTTGTGGTCAAAGTTAATCAATGAACCAAAACAACAAAATTTTCCCACGTATTTTTGGTCTAATTTCTAGAGAAAATATCCTAACACACTTTAAAACTAACAAACGTCTCAACTAGACATAGTTATAAGCTTACATAGTTTTAGGTCAATAATTCCTTAATATTGATGAGAAAGTACTACCTCCATTGGCTGGAAAAACACTTATAAGAAGAACATTTTCTATAAGTGAAATAATCTGCCTAAGTACTTTTACATTGATTTATTGATTTTAAACAAGCTTCTGTATCTTGCTGAGAAGTTACTTATAAGTTGGTTTGTCTTATTTCAAGTGTACCAAGATATTTGCACTAGAAACTAGACCAAAAGTCCTTGATAAATTTAGATTTTGTTCTTCTTTTCCTTTTGTGTGTCTGTGGCAGTGAAAGAAACTGGTTAAAAAATTGCATTTACAGAGAGTTGAAAAGGCAAAAACCACTGCTTATCAATGGCAACCAAAAGATCGGTTTCACACTAAAAACTTGATGACCCCCATAAATTTTGGGAAAATATTCTATGAACTTACAAGATCAAAGATGAACTTCCTAGAGAGATCGTCATCACCATCCTTTGGTCAAACATGGAGGTGGTAAGGTTGTCATCTGGGGCAGCTTTGCTGCTTCAGGTCAAGTCGTCATTATTGATAGATCCATGAATTCAGCTCTCCTGCTGTTTGGCCATCAGTTCATGACCTTAAACTCAAGTGGGTTTTTTTGTTTGTATTTTTTTTGGGAGGACATTGATCTGATTCTACTCTTCGTGGCTTAAAACAAACAAAACGGAGGTTTTGGAGTGGCCCGGTCAAAGTTTGTCCTTAAATCCGAGTGAGATGCCTGCTGCTGTTGACGCACCCAACGCCCTCCGACCAGGCTGACATAAACTATTTCTGGGCCAGAAGTTCCTCCACAGTGATGTCGAAGACTTATCGGTTTTTACAAACACTTCGCAAAGGGAGGGGACACAACCAGTTATTAGGTTAAAGGGCCGATTACTTCCTCACAATTACTTCCCAGGTGCGCCGCGTTAATGAGGTCATTGTTTTTATTAAGGGCGTTTTTTTCTGTTATTTGCAAATGTTTAAAATAACAAAAGAAGAAGCAAAAATAAAAGAAATCTATAACTTTTTGTGCCTTTTTCTTAAGTAAAGAAAATAGATTTGTGTAGCTGCGGCAGATGAGATATTTATGAGAGCTGAAAATAAGGTCAAACATATGTACCCTGCAAGGTGCTTAGCAAAGTAATTAAGAGGGAATACTTCTCAGCGTGGAGTGCCACTTTTAGGAGAAACTCCAACCTCTAAACCCGCCGACGGGTGACAGACATTTTAATTACATGGTAAATTTTGATTTTTTTTTTTCTCTCTCTCTCTCTCTCTCTCTCTCTCTCTCTCTCTCTCTCTCTCTCTGTCTGTGTCTGGGCCTGAACTCTTAAGCGCTGCCATGTAGTCAAGATTTAGCTGCAAAAATTCCCCCCCACCCTCCTCCGTTTTCGGCGGCCGTGCGTGAAGTGACACGACCGTTAACGAGAGCTCGGCGGAAGAAGGAGACGGGGGTTGAAGAAAGGAGCGCTTCTTTGTGAGTTCCCATTCAGCGCGATTTGTCCCCCTTTGTAGTCCTAATTATGTGCCAAAGTAGGATAACAGAAGTTCTCAACTCGGCCATTATGCCTGCACAAAAAAAGAGACGCATACAAGGAGCTGATCACTTTGGAATTAGCAAACATGATACTATATGAGGAGGGAGAGAGAGAAGAAAAAAAAACATTAATACCGTCAGGGATTAGAGGTTCTGATTAAAGTGTAGCTTCTACCATATGCAAATTAGTGATAGGCATTTATCAGCGCCTGGGCAAGCTGTCTTAGCTGCAAAGCCACATATGTTTTTTAGCTGATTAAAAAACTGCTTGAAGTTGCAGGCTTTTTAATGGCAGAGAGAGAGAGAGAGACAGAGAAAGAGAGAGAGAGAAAGAGAGGTTGTGAGGCAACTCATTTCCTTTTGGCCAATTTCCCACAATCGCTCAGAGCGTTTGCCTTAATTCCCTCCTTTATTAGCTGCATTCTTTTGTATATAATTAAAACATTTCTCAAGTGAGCATGTGTGTGCTTGTGTTATTTTATTTTTTTGTCCTTTATTTTTCATCAGTGAACATATTGTATTCTTTCTTCTTTTTTTTCTTTTAACTATATCGCCGTAGCCTGGACGCCCCTCCTGAAAAGGAGCCCAAGTTTGGGCACGGCGACCGTAAAGGCAGAATTAGGTGAGAATTTGTCAGCGGTCTGCCATTGTGCGAGGGTCTCGGCGTTATTATATTTCCCTTTTCACATGGAGGTGACCCCCTTTGTGTTAACAAAGAACATGAGGATGAAACTGAGCTCTGTGTGCTCCTCACCCCGCACTGATAATGCCTCGGTAACCCAGCAGCACCCCCTCGCACCTCCTTCCCCTCCTCCTCTCCTTGAGGGAGCACTTTAATTTATGCTTTTTCATCTCCCTGGGCGCAACACTGTTAACCTGCTCTGTGCACTACTGATTCTGGGAAGGGAAACCTCTTATCCACACCAGACTGCTGCATCAAGTCTCTCCTCTCACTACTCCGCCGGTGGAAAGTTAGTTCTTGATGCAAACGGCAAAACATCCCGGCAAAATGTACGGCCAGGGAATAAAGAGATTTACACAAGCTCAAATAGGTAACCTGCTTACTGTCAGCTCGGTTTTCCTGCTTACTACGTTAATGTGATTTTTTTTTTTAAACATCCCTTATTAGGACTGTACTTATTTTCTTAGGACAGTTTTAATTCGAGAAAAACTTAACTACAGTGTAATTTACTGTAATTCTCTGGTATAGTGTGGTACTGTAAACTGAACTATTGTACAATGTCCTACAGACTATAATATACAAGGCTGAGTATTGCAACTATGCAGGATATGTTATTCTATGGTATAATAGACCATAGAATAAAATACTATAATATACTCTGCTATACTAAGGTAGATTATATTATGCAAGAGCTTACTATACGCTGCTATCAGAGGGTTAAGCAGCTGCTTAGGGCCCCCACACCACCAGGGGTCCCCCAAGAGCACCAAGCTAGCATGATAAAAAAATATACATAAATATTTAAAATAACATTTAAAAAATACACACTACATAATATTACACATGGAAGAGTGTTTTCTATATTGCTGCTATTGTCACTGGTGGGAAAATATAAGATATCAAACTTAACTTGTTTACTGTAAATTTAGTGTTCATCAGCTGATGTTACTTTCAAATAGTTCAAGTAATATGGCACACACACATTTTTTCAGTTTGTTATTCCTCTATAAGGTCAAAATTAACAGCCATAATAACACCAGTTGATGTAAACTAATTACAAATTATGATATACTATACCCTGCATGCTGGGTATAGTGTAAATGACAGTATGCCGTTACACAACACCAGACTATGTTACAGTACATTACTGATCCTCACACTCTACATAACCTGTGCACTCCTAATGTTAGCCTAATATTGCTTTTATTTAGTTAATTTCACTTTAAAAATGATCATAGTTAATTTGCTGAGCGGTCGGCTGCACAAACAGACAGGGACGCAAACCAAACTTGTCATTGAACTTTGTAACTTTTACTGAGGTTATACAGTACAATACAATATAAGTATGGTGATGGATAGCACCTGTCAGTCGTAAGGACTCTTACATGTTGCATGTTACTCTTTACATCTGTAAATTTTGCACATTAACAACTTCAATATTTTTAACATATTTTCCCAACAGTCCATATTATACATTTGGAAGTTTAGTTAAAAAGATAGGCATGGTGTATGTGCAGAATTGTATTGTTGTTGTTTTTTTTTTTATCACAAACAATGTTTGTGATTTAAAAAAAAATTGAGTTATTGAACCATAGAAAAATATCAGCTTCATTTCCTTCCATGGAAAAAAAAAACAAACAAAAAAAACAGGAGTTTCTGTGCTCAGCGAAACCTTCCCAGAAACATAGCAGACCAATAATACTCCGCAAACCAGTGATTCAATAAATTACATTGTGGCAAAGAAGCCATGTAATTGAAATATCTAGATAAGAATGAGAGTGACTCTAAATGATATAAAATGATGGAGACAATAAAAGGAGCGGTCCGGAGATGGGCTTGTGGTTGCCTTGAACAGTCTGGAAGGGGCGGCCTAAGTAGCAAAGCCATAGAAACATGTTGAAAAGAGCTATTGTTGCTTTTGAAGGCAACCTCTATCTCTCAAGGACATCTAATTAACAGACAACAGCTGAGTCCATTTCAAATGGTAATATATTTTCCATTAAATGCATCATTTTCAATGCTTTATTGCTTAGTTCAACAAACCTTTCTTTTTTTCTTATTATTTTGCAGGGAGGTATTTAATGCTTTATTTACTACACTCAATACATTGTTTACACTTGTGCAGGCATTTCTCTTTGACCTCTTCAACGTATAATAGTGAATTGGTGGTAAATGAAAGGTAAGCATTTTAAAATGTTTTTCATCTGATTCAATATGTCATTTCAATGAACCGCTTTCGCACTGTTTCCATCACATCTAATTTAATAATGAAGTAAACGACCACAAAGGTCCCGGTTCATGAAATGAAGATCGCAGAGATACGTTAAGGTTTATACAAACCTCTCTGACCGGTGCACAACCAGAACCGCAACGACGGGAAATTCTAAGAACACGTTCTCTTTCCAAACATTTCTCAAAGCACAAAACCTTCATTCTATGTTTCCATATGCTAGTGACACACTTGCAGCAATTCAGACTAGATTGTTCTGAGTCTGAACTGAGTGAGAATTTTGATGCTGGACCTGAAAAAGGCCGATCCTCGACAACCTGACAGAACAGTTCTGCAAAGAATTGGGGTAAAATTGCAGCATCCAGATGTGCAAGTCTTACTGAGACCTATCCACACAAAGCCCATATAATGCAGTAATTTAAGTTATGATAAATCATTTTATGTAATTTTCATTATTTTGTAGAAACCAGTTTCCACTTTGATCTTGAAGGGTTTTTATGGTAATTGTATTGTCAAAAAAGTTGCATTTTGTTCGTGTTAGAAGGTAAGGCAAGGTAATTTTATTTATATAGCACATTTTCAGCAACAAGGCAATTCAAAGTGCAAGAAGGGGATAAATACTTTATATAGGCACTGTAAATACACACTAAGGTTTATTAAGAAATTAAGTTTTTATTTTGTTCAGAAAAAAAACTGAAAGCAAGGTTGGTGGAAATATTTTGGCGAGAAAATCAGAGCTTTGTTAGCTTAGCTTAGCTTAGCTTAGCATATTTTTTCCCTTTGTTTATGGTTCTACGCCATGTTTCTCCACAAAATCTATTCTGTTTCTGCAACTACTCTGTTACTAAAAGAACATCAACACACTAACATCACTGTATGTGAATTAATATGTTTATTTGATGATTACTAACTCATCTGTAGCTCTTCATTTTTTGCACTTGATGCTACTGCGTACGCAACAAAATAAAATCTGTGCCATGGGTGAAGCAATTATCCAATACTCCTTTTCACTGTTGGGTATCTGCATTACTTTTCCAAGTTGTATAAAAACATCTTTAAGTAATGCATGTAGAGTTTTCTGTGACACAATGCATGGTGTGATCTCTGGCTAAATCTGGATGTCATGGATTTTTTTTTATTTTTTTTTTTAACAAAAAACATCAGTAGTTTAAATGACACAGCTCAGAAACAGCACATACATTTTTCATAATGAATCACTTGCATATTTACACAAGTGCCAAGTCTGAAAGAAATGACTAGATTACAGCTTTTCCTAATGTCACACTATGCATACACTCTGTCTGCAATGACAAAGACTCGCTCACCTTTAAAAGATGAGGGCTTGGAGTTGCAGCATTCACAGACTGTGTATAGATTCTTGATCATTCATTCAGAGGAGTTAAGGTGATCCTTAAGAAATAAAAACAGAAGAAAATGAGATGATAAAACATAATGTATTCTATGGATCCACAGCAGCACAATGTTATTTTGACACATTTTTATCAGAATACACAGTCAAAACGCTTTTACACAAAAATCAAGAAAATTACAGACAACCTTGAGCATCCTCGTCATGAGACTACCTTAGACAGTGTCTTTAGTCAGAGGCTTTTTCAAATTTGTTGTAATACATGCTGCTACAGGAGATCTTTCCCCCCAAAAGTCATCACTATCTACATTGATTCTGAAGAATTTGAATTAATACGAATTAGAACATTTAATTTGCCTTTGGGATCAATAAAGTATTTTTGAATAAAATGTTTAATGGATGTCCATTATTAACAGCAATATGAAAAAAAAACATGGTACAAAATGTTAAGATTAGATCAGTGTTTTCTTACTACATCATTTTCCTGGAAAAAGCACGGTTCTTTTTCTAAAAAACTAATCTTTAACCTATTCTGACAATAATGCAATCAAAATTGCATTATTTTGATTGCAATTTGCAAATTGCAATTTGATTATTTGATTTATTGGGAGAATTTCATTGTCTGAATTAATAACCTGCAGCATTGTTTTGAATAGGGCAGGTTGTTCACCTGATGCACCCAAAGCATTACTGACTGTTACCCTCACACACTCATGCAGAGTAGCTAACTGTGTCTCCCGTGGGGGAAAAGGAGAAGGGGATCTAAAATCAATAGCCGCTAAGTTAAAGATGCAGCTTGCCATTTGACCTGTCCTCCTCTTGTCTTCATCACAGTCTTTTCAGCTTTCTCCTCTCACCACCCATCACCCCTCCTCGTTTACTACCGTAAATGACACGCCGACACGCTCCTAACAAGACACAAATTGTTTAAGTCAGTCTAGGCGGAAGCGAGTCCCGCGTCGGCGGGGCCGCTGGCGATTATCTGCAGAGGAACAGTAGGTCAGAGGTTTGGACAAAAGACTCAATGCAACCTCTTTGGCTGGCGAGGAGGAGGACCGAGTGCGCTTAAATGTCCTGGGAGTCATTTGCCTCTTGATTTTGGAATCAATGAAGGGGATAAAAAGAGGAGGGGCGGAAGGTTTCTCTCCAGCAGAAAATGGCATTAGAGTTAATGACCAAGTTGGTCCCAGAGGGGTAGTCCATATTAAAGCTATTTCAGCAGCGACAGCTTTCACCACATGACCTGGCTGATTAATGACAAAGTGGTTCTAAAATAGGAGTAACAATAACTGTCAGTCAGTATGAAAGAAAAATAATTATTCAGAAGCAGTCTGCTGTTTGTTTTGCCCTTTTCCTGGATTTCATTGCCTTAAAAAGGCACAGAGACTCTGCTTTTTGGTATAACGATCCGTCCATCTTTTTCCAGTTATATGTGACAAGTTGTCACATATAAGAAACATATAAGATAAAAAGCTGATAAGATCAACAGAGTGGAGGCTAGCTTTAAGTGTGTGTGTGCATATACTTGCTTTTGTTACATTAGTAGGACCTTTCACAACACAATTGCTTACCATATGAAGACTGGTCCAAAGTCTGAGTGTGGTGTGCTAAAAAGTTATTTTTGGGTTGGATTATGCCTTGGAAATGGTAATGATTTGGGTCAGGCTGCTTGACAGAGAGGAAACCTGTAAGGATGGAAATGAAAAAAATAAAAATAAATGAATTACTCCACCATCCAAAATAAACACATGATAATAAAAAATTACAAACATTTAGAACAAAGAGAGATTAATGTTGTGTTTTATAACAAAGTATATTCTTTTTTTTAAGAGTCACAAGAAGTTGAATTTTGAGAAATTATGAAACTCAACTTGAGATACTTTCATATGTTGCACAACCACTTTACCATGTGCAAGGCTTGAAAGTTATTTTCATCTATGCACATTATCTTTGAATAAAGGTGGCTTTACCCTGACATTTAAATAAATCTTTTAATACTATTTACAATGACATTCAAAGTTATGATTTGTATAAAATGGCAAAGACTTTAACATGTTGATTTTGATATGTTAAAATTTAAATGAAATGCAGTTTATTTATTTATTTAATTTAACGTAAAAATGTTCTGGCCAGAACCTTGTATTCTCATGTTTCTGTAACACCTGTAAATCTGACGCACAAGCTACATCCGCAAAACAACAACGATGGACGACAAATCTGCTTCTCTTGTCCACTGGGTGTTAATTTTTGTTTCAAAAAATTACCTGGTGGGACTCTGATAGGAAAAGACTATTGTTGTGTGCAAGTTATGAAAGGAGTTAGCCTATTAGCCTGAAATAGCCTCCCAATGCTAACCATGTAGCAGTACCACAGACGTCCCCAACACTAAAGTCAGCGTCCACATTTCTAAAAAAAGTTCCATGAAACAGGAGTTCCTGGACCCCTGGAAAGCACTTGGCACCAATCAGATAGTTGAATAATTTAAGTAACATATTTAAAATATATTTGTTATTGAGTTTATATATCTAATAATTTAGCAGCAAAAGGGTTTTGAATTGAACATGTTGCTTATTGAGTCAATATATAGTTTGACTAAAATGTGATTAACAGATTAATTAAAAGACCCTGCCATTAACTCAATTAAAAATTTTAATCAAGTCCTGTCACTAAAATTTACCAGTAAAAAATCTAAGATTCCATCCTTTCTGATATTCTTCAAAATGCAAAGAAGACTGACAAAGTGTTTTATGAATATTTAAAATTCTCTTCAAGAATTTGAAAATGAAACTAATGTGAAAAAAAAATAAATACATAGAATTTTTTTTAATCCAACTTGAATGTTTAGCAGAAGTTTAGTCAATATATTCCAATGCATATATGAAATCAACAGATTTCTTTTGCCCTATAATTCATTGGGTAAGAATGGCCCTTCAGTCCACTTTAGGACTGCAGACACCAGTTGAAAAACTCTTATGGTGCTTGGGAATTGTTCTGAATGCTGATTGTATCGAGCCTGAGCGGACGGCAGGGGCCCCATCTGATATTTATCGCCTCGAGTCTACCAGGGGTGACCGGGGGGCAAGGCCGCGTCCCACTTGTCCGACTGGAGAGCAGATTAAAGCGTTCTGAAAAGCTGCACACTGCTGGCCGCAATGAGAAAAATAATAATGTGGACATGGCCTTCCCTTTATGACAGTAACAACACATTCTCCGGGGACCAATCTTTTTTTATCAATACCGAAGAGTGACAAACAAGCACACACCCAAAGCCAGAATTGTGTGAGACGATGTATGGAGTAATTATGATGCTTGTGTATCTTGAAGGTGGGGATGACAAAAGCAGTCAAACAAACTTTTATTGCCATCTGCCATATATTTTTAACCAAAAAGGTACATTGTGTCTCATTATTTCTTTCAGACTGAAAGAGGCACTAACTTTACTTACACCCTCCACCAAAAAGTCCTTGAACGGGCAGAACACTGAAGAGCAAAAAAAAAAAAAAAAAGAAGAAGAATGGAAGGGGAGATGCATCAAAATGAAAAAGCGTGTTCGTTATTTGGAGTTAGGAAATCGTTGACATTCACTTAGATAAAAAGAACAAACTTGAATGTACTTTTGGAATTATAACCAGAATTAAGAATATCCTTACAGAGACAGTCTTTCAACTAAACACTAAGTAACAGTTTTGTACTTAACAATTTGATCAATTAAATCAGTTTTATTCAAATGCCTGAACCAAAATGCACTTAAAAAGTCCTAGTTTTAACTTAGGCCAACTTCCTGAAATCCTCTACTGGCTCCAAATGAAAGAAACCCACATTTTTGTAGATTGTTTTTCTAGCATATTCTAAAGAAAATGCAGCTTTTGGAGCTAAGACAGCTAGCAGCAATGCTACTTGACATGCTGTTGGCTAGCATTTGCAAAGCAGCCAATCTGTGACTGGTGCTGGTTGGCTGCACCCTAGGAACTATTAAAATAGGCAGTTATTAGTCGTTTTAGAGGGGGACTCAAATATCAAATATCTGCAGATTTTAACCATTCACAGGGGGAAATGTTCCCTGACCTTAGCGAATACTTAATATACCACAAATATGCATCTTTGCTATAATAATGACTCAAATGTTACAGCAATGGCTCAATAATAAACTTAGTTACAGTCATTCTATGCACTGCAGCTTCTCTATGTACACTGACAATAATTCACTCAACTCAGCATTCCAAGTGCTTGACTCTAGCTGGATGACCTACTTTCCAATTGAGATAGATTGATTATTTGACCATTTTCTATTAAACTCTCAATCCCACATGGTCAGTTGATCCTTAAAACTTAAATGTCGCAAAGCAAAATGAATGAACTCTGTGCTGGTTACTTGAATTCTACACATTATCATAATACTCAGAATTTAGAAATGATGGTGCAGCACAAGCCCATGAAGTATACTAGGAAACTGTCAGCAGCTTAAATGTTAAACTAGTTAAAATGAAAAAAAAATACAAAAATCTGCATCCAAACTCAGCTGAAGCAAGTCCATGTTCTAAAATCAAACATTTCTATTTTCACTAAAGAATGCTGAAGGTCTGATGAGCGCGCACCATCTTATTGTAGATCCCAAAACAATAAGGAAAAAAGCTTTTGATCCGTGTAAGATCTCTATGCTCATAACACAGCACTTTATCTATTTTCTCAGATCTCATAGAACTCCACAAAAAGAACAGAGAAAAGAGGAAAAGCCAACAAAAAAGGAGGTATAAATAGACGCTGTTATTCTAAACAATCTAATGAAACAACATTTCTCCCGACAATGCTTCACAGCTCTTTCTAAACCAAACCAAGCTTTTGTTTTCCTCCGACTCGCCGCGCTATTATGGTCGAGAATTATTTCCGTACATCTACAGAGGAACTCACATGATCGAGATTAAACCGGTCACCGTAATCAGGCTGCAGATTTTAATTGTGAGCGCCTCGGCTGGCACTGTTTTCTCCCCTATTCTGTCCCGGTTGACAAAAATCTGACAGTGGCTTTGCATGGCAAACCTGTTTAATGAACGACTAATCCAGGAAGAGCGCATTATGGCAAACTGTCACACACACATTGTACCAATATTAACTTGAATTTACATTATCATCCTCTGGTAATGCTGGAATATTTGGATTTCCATTAATGCATGGCCTTTCTGTGTGAAAAGCAAACAGCAGTGAACTAAATCTGTTTCTCCCACCACCACCACCTCTTTTGACTGGGTGTTGGTCTTAACACAGTGCAGAGGAGCTTTCTTTATTGGGATGACAGCTCCAAGGCTTCTTCACTCCTCACAATCAGGCTCGCAAACAAAAGACTTGCAAACCTCTTCTGGAGCAGCCGAGCCAAACTCCTATTACACCATTGTAGCGGCCCTGTAAATCAACAAGAACAATGATGGGAAGAACAATGATGGGGAGCACAATGGCGCGGGGCCGGCACCAGCGTTCTTAGAAAAATATGAACCCGACGAACAATAAGTCAGTCACTCGTGTGAAATGCGTTTTACTTCTCAAGTTATTTGTTATGTTTGTGCTTCCTCTCCCATTGTTCATTCGATATGTTCAAATTGTAATATTTCTGACGCTTGATTTCAATCCAGAAGGAAATCCAAACTGCACTGTTTTTTCTTCTTCAGGTGGTGATGTCTTGATCACACAGATGTTTGACATTAAAGTACCAAAACATCCATTTCACACATCAAATCTGTGACAAGACTTGATTGATATTCACAGTCTGGTTTTAGCTTGACCTGATTAGAGGGATTTGGGGAGGTTAGAAGTTAGCGGATAAGTCCAAAATAACAATATCAAAACAAAGTATCAGATCGATACTAGAGTGGTAAGATAAAAACATTTGTTTCAGATTTTGAAGTTTCATTCTGGTTCTCAATGTTATCTCTAAAAACATTGTTTCAATTTGCTCTCAAATTGCAATTTTTCCCAACTTTATTTAAGAAACTATGCACATAATATTATTTTTTCCTGTTCAAAACATTGATATATCAAAGTATTTTTGTAGACACCTATAAACTTTGTCCAAAATGTATCCTAGCTTTTAATAAACTAATTGAATGAAAAACCACAAAAATACCGTATGAAGTATCGTCAGAAGTTTGATAATCACGTATTAACCCTCTCCAAGGAGAAGTAGAGAAGAGAAAGGGAGGTAGGGGAATCTGTGCAGCAACAATATCAAACTTAAAAAAAATAAAAAGGTATTAAGGAATTGGCATTGATATTGTGATGCCTGCCCTGTATTTGCTTGGTAGCAATCCGATACCAATGCTTATACTGCACACCTGCAAGACAGATGTGCACAGCTGGTTGGGAATTCATTGAAAAGACTTTCAGTTGTAATTCCATTGATAGGTTGTTCACAAGTACAAGTCCAGATTTTTATTTGTAAAAAAAAAAATCGTAATAATCATGTAATCTTTTTGTTTTACTTCACATCTATGCACTGCTTTCTACTCTATGACAAAACATGGGAAGTCCAAGGCACTTCAAATGAGATACAAGCATTTTATTACCTACAGTTAAAGGCATGCTGTGTGTAGAAACAGTTTGTATCATAGCCAGTGGTGGCACTAAATTATAAATACAAATATTTGTCACCCTCAGCTTGGACTACTTGGTTAATAATGTTTACACTTAGTTAAGTATAGTGGCAGT